AATTCAAACGGAGCCCAAAGCCTAATAAGGAGCAGAGCAGCCTCATTCTCGTTGCCAGGGTCCAGGGTTCCACCCCGTGAACTGGCCCTTGGCAGGGGCTGCCACTGTGCGAGCATCCAGGGTGAATCCATTCTGCCCCGCCCCCGGGGGCAGACCCCCATTCTGTAACGTGTGAGTAGGATGCTCTCCCCCTTTGGGCAATTGCTTGAGTGACAGAACAAATAGACATGGAGCCCTCTTCCCCTGCCCACAGGTAAGAAACTTCACGTCCTATTGGCATCTGGTCCTTGGTTTAACGACACTGCAGGTCCACAACACTCAGGTAACATTAACACCCGCATCCGACCAATGGCCTCTGCCCAACCCCATCACAGAAAAAAATTCAGCTGAGAGAGGCCAGTGTAAGAGTCTTTACTCACATCTGGGAAGGGGGCCTGTGACTCTGAGACAGGAACTGAAAAACAAAAAGGTAGATCAGGAAGTGCTGGAGTTTCCCTTACCACTGGCAGCGCAGTCAAACATCATAGAACAAGCGTACTAGTTGGTACCGGATCAAAAAGGCAATGGTGCTGCCCACTACCTACAGAGGAAAAAAATAAGGAAGATCATTGGAATCCATTTGTGCTAAATACTTGACCGAGTGGTATAAAGACAAGATCCCTTTGTCAAACAAACTACATCATATGACCCACCTCTGTAAGTAACACAGAAGTTAATTTAAAATATTTCCATGCCTACTTTCAAAGGGGTGTGTGGGAATGAGAAGACTGGGCAAGATTATTCTCTCCGAGGAGCAGTATGGTTCTGTATTGCAGAGCCATAGCTAACTCAGGCAGGTGAGAGACAGCCCCCGCTTTAACAAGCTACTTGGTATGGTGGAAGTAAAGATGTAAAGATAAGTGAAGGGGTGAAATCAAAATGTTCCCTGTGCCTGAGAATTTTAGTGTGGACCTACATCCACAGTAGAGTAGGCCCTCCTGTCTGCGGGAGCATTTGCCTGACCTGGATAAGAAGCAGCAGAACAGTGAGGGTTTGCTCTGAGGTTGGTCCAATAAGCTTTATAACAAAGTTAATGAGCGTCATGTTGTTGCACTCTGTGTATTCTTCATCTTCGTCTAATTTCTGTCTCACATCCACTATATGAAAGGTTTCTGATACCTGGGGAAGAGAAGTATGTTAATCGATCTTTAATTAGATACATTATGGCTGCGTCTACACTGGCATGATTTTTCACAAAGAGAGTGTCTACACTGTCATGTGCTTTTGCGCAAAAGCATCCGTGCCAGTGTAGACGCTCTCTTGCGCAAGAAAGCTCCGATGGCCATTTTAGCCATTGGGCTTTCTTGTGCAAGAAATTAACGTTGCCTGTCTACACTGGCCTCTTGCACAAGAATACTTGCACAAGAGGGCTTATCCCTGAGTGGGAGCGTCAGAGTATTTGCACAAGAAGCACTGAAAAAATCCCCCCAGCCAGTGTAGACAGGTGGCAAGATTTTGCACAAAAGCGACTGCTTTTGAGCAAAATCTTGCCAATGTAGACACAACCTATGTGTTTACTACTTAGAGCAGGGGTGGGCAATAACCCCTTTGGATGGGGGCACCACTTCATGAATTTTAATTCATGGTTGCAGACTGGCTCTGGCCCCTTAGGAGGGACGGAAGCCTTGGGCAGAAAGGGGCGGATCCCTCTGGGTGGGGAGTGGAAGACTTCATGCACACCCCCATTCCCAGGCCAATTGGGACCTAGGAGTGCGGAAAATCATTCACTGTTCAAAACAGCTGGTGGTTCCCTCTAGGCACTGTGTGCCCGTGGCATAGAGTGTGTAGTTGATAACAGAAGACAATTTTTACTTATCTCTCAAGGTACCTTTAGAATATACTTTCCCAGTGCTGAAAGACTTTTGGTTTTGAATTTGGAGTAGCTCATTTCCAGCTTCCCTGTTCCAGGATTGAGCCTGAAAAGAACATTGAAATATTAGTCCAGTTGCACCAAAGAGGCTAAATCTCTCTATAAAAGCGGGGGGGGGAGACATCTGGAGTAATCCTATACATGTAGACTACGTCTACACTGCAGGCTTCTTGCGCAAGAACTGTTTTGCGCAAGAGTTCTTGCACAAAAATTCTTGTGCAAGAGCACGTCCACGCTACCATGTGCTTTTGTGCAAAAGCAAGAGCTCTTGCCCAAGAGGGCTTATTCCTCGTAAGGAGAGGAATAACTCTTGCGCAAGGAGCCCTCTGTTCCGACACTTTACTGTAAATGTACTTGTGCAAGAACGCGTGTGCAGTGTAGATGCTCCACAAGTTTTTGCGCAAGAACAGCTGTTCTTGCGCAAGAAGCCAGCAGTGTTGACGTAGCCATAGTAGTCCTATAGGAGTCTCAGATGTGTAGCCACTCAAATAAGGCAGGGGCCAGAAGAATGTTTTGTGGGTAGTGTGAGGGGCAGTCAGCTGGGTTGCAGAAAGTTGTGGCAATTTCAAGGCAACATAGAAATTCCCACACATAGAAAATTGACAGTTCGTGTAGCATAGAACTGATAACAGAACCTTAGAGATGGCATAAACACTTCACTCTTCCCTGTGTTTTATAACACTACTAAGGAACAGTGTTTCAACTCTGCTCTTTACAGGGCTATAACATTATTTGTTAACACAGTTCTAACTCCATCTACAAAGCATCACCCAAACATATTAGGGACAGCTGCACTGTGAGTAGATCACTCAGTATGGCAGATTTTACATCACACACACAGACTTGGTGTTAGATACTGGTTAATTCAACAGTTGAGTAACTGCATGAATTCCTATTGTTTACTCAACTATTCTATAGGCCCCAGGGGCGGGGCCAGTTTGCTCTGCTAAATACTTTACTGAGTGATATGCCGACAAGGTCCCTTTGTCAAACAAACTACAGTACATCATGGTACTTCTGTGTTACTTACAGAGGTTGGTCATTTGCAGGAGTTAATTTAAAATATTCCTATGTCTACTTACAAAGGGGTGTGTGGGAATGAGAAGACTGGGCAAGATTATTGGGGTGCACTCCTGGGGAGCACTCTAACATTCTGCACTGCTGCCTCGGTATAAAAAGGCAGCAGCATGGGGTGCCAGGCAGGAGCCAGTCCACAAGGGGAGCCACGGAGTGGCAGCAGCCCTGTCTGCAAGGGTCCAAACTCCCCGCACACAGAGGCTGCTGGAGAGTGGGAAGAGGAGGAAGAAAGGCAGCCAGGAAGGAGCTTCTGTCCACAGCAGCCTGGGTTGCCCTGAAAAGAAGCTGGCCCGGCAGCAGCCCCTGTCCACAATGGATCCAGGCTTACCACAGACAGAGGCGTAGGGAGCTCAGAACCTGGGCCTGCAACGAGCAGACTACTTCACAGCAGCCTCCCCTGCCCTCTTCACCCCACACTGGTATGTCTAATAAAGGCAGAAATGGGAGGGGAGGGGAAGAGGGGGAGGGCAGCACCGCATAGCCAGTGCTGCGGTGAAAACCAGCTTTTAAGCCAGCTCCCTCCTAGCATTGGCTCCTGTTTCCCTCCTCGGGGGGGGGGGGGGAAGAAATGCAAATAGTAAAGAAGATTACCAATGAGCCTAGGCTTATCTGTTCATTGTATACTTGACTTCTTTATATCCCTAGTCTGTATTAAGCTTTCATAGTACTAAAAGGTCCCATCATTAGACCCCTGCGTGGATATAAAATTTGCATCTGTGTCCATAAAAATGAGCTGCAGATATTTGCCTCCACATTCACAAATCTGGATACCCACATATATATATAAAGCAGATATCTGTAGATTTTTAGGGCTCTTACAATCAGGACTCTACAGTTCACACCTTCTTTCTAGGACTGGGTATACAATAACTTGTGATGGGGGGCCGCTCCCAAGATTTTGGAAAGCAGCCAAGAGCTGTACTCTTCCATGGTATTAATGGAGGAGAAGTGGGGTCTGGGAAGGAGGTTGGGTACAGAAGGGAGCTTGGGGTAAAGGATTGGAGTGCAGGAGGAAGAATGGAGTCTGGGAGGGAGTTTGGGTGAATCAGGTAGTTGTGACCTAGGGTAGGAGGGGACTGTGATCTCAGGCAAGAGATTAGGGTGCCAGATCTGGGAGGGAGTATGGGTTCATGTGGAGTAGCGGGGCAGGAGTGGTTGGGGAAGGGAGAGGCTGAGGTGCCAGAGGCAGGTTCTCCCCAGATGACATGCCAGCCTGCCTGCAGAGCTAAAGACTTACAGAGCTTAAAGTGTTTTTGCCTACTCGGCCATGTGCTTGAGTGTGAGCAGGAGGGTTGTCCTTTGTGACTGCCTGTTATTCACACAAACAGCTCCCATTGGCCAGTGTCTGTCCAGAAACTGGCCAATAGGATTGTGCTGGGGGTGGGAGCAGCGGCTGAATCTCCCCCCCTCCCATCTGGACTCAAAGAGAAAGCACCCCATAGCTGTGTTTCTGAGTGGGGTGCAGGGCTCTTGGGCAAGCAGGGGAGCCTGCTGGTCTCCGCAGGCCATATTTTGCCCAGGCCTGTTCTAGTATGATGCCAGTTCCCAGGACATTATTATTGCTGTTTGGCAGGAGACAGTTTTCTGTTGGGCTCAATTTACAGGGCAGCAGCTCCTCTCTTTTACACCCAGCTGTTTGCAACAGGAAAGGTTTCTTGGTAAGTTTAAATGTTATGGAGAAACACCAGAACTGTAAATTCATGGCAACCGCAATATTTCTAGGTCCACTGTTTCATCCCATCCTTGGGCAAGAGGGCAGTTGTTGCAATGTGAAATTTCCACACTGTCCTAGTAAAGCCCTTGTCTCTAGAAGATGCCTGAGATGTATGTGTCACTTTTCATTCTTCCTGTCACAACAGAAGAGTTAAATGTTATGGAGAAACACCAGAACTGTAAATTCATGGCAACCGCAATATTTCTAGGTCCACTGTTTCATCCCATCCTTGGGCAAGAGGGCAGTTGTTGCAATGTGAAATTTCCACACTGTCCTAGTAAAGCCCTTGTCTCTAGAAGATGCCTGAGATGTATGTGTCACTTTTCATTCTTCCTGTCACAACAGAAGAG